GTATGAGTTTTTCCCTGGTTCACGTGAGCAGGTGTTTACAAACAACATGTCTCTCATCTGATGTTCGGAGGCAAAGTTTTAATTGATCAAATGGGAAACAGCCAAACAGATACTGCAGGTTGTAGGTTGATGGTACCGAATTTGAATTTGACTTTGATGAAGGCAGATTATCTGAAATTCCCTGTGACCATCTTTTCGTCATCGAAACACCATGGTCGAGCATGGGAAGCATACGACAATCACAAAGCCTAAAGATGCCTGAGGAAGATTAGTCGCTGTTGAGTACGACATGATCAATGGCTTGATCCTGCACAAGGAAACTATGATTTGAAACTGTTTGACAACTTTCTTAAAACCCCAAAATATAATTCGCCAAATGAATGCAATACCCCAAACGAACTAGACACACTTCTATCCCTGTTTTGCATCAGTGTTTGCAAAACACATATAAAAATAGAGCCAATTGTAGTAATATGAACAACAATGAGAAATCACTTAAAACGAAAAATGGAACGGCTATCCCATCACGTCATCCTCGTGGGGTGGTTGGTAGCCTAATGGTTTATGCGTCCCCGGGTTTGATTCCCCACATGGAATACAATGTGAAGTGCAACTTCTGGTGTCCCCCGCCGTGATATTGGTAAAAGTGGCATAAAGCTTAATTCGCTCACTCACTCACTCACTCACTCACTCACTCACTCACTCACTCAACTCACTCACTCACTCACTCACTCACTCACTCACTCACTCACTCACTCACTCACTCACTCACTCACTCTTACAATGTTCACGATCACGGCTGAAATTAAAGGGGAGGAGAATTGAACTGAACATGGAGGGCGTGACACCCAAGCAGAGATCGGAGTCCCTGCAGCAGCGCGTGGGACCCTTTGGACATAATATTCCCAAAGAGCATAATAAACTCGAGAGCACAATCCATTTTATAAACTGTCCAATGAGACAAGAGAACAATAGGTCTGGTGAGACTCCTCGTCAAGGCCGAACAATGTTCCTAAAGTTGCTGATCCTTCTCTGCCCTCTGCAGGTGTATAAGTTGTATGTATTCACGTCTCCACTCGACATCTGTTGAGATGGCGGCCCAACTTACTTTGCACAGGCACACACAGTCAAGGCGATGCCTAAACCTGTCGATCAGTTGTTTGTTTGATATAGTATTGTGAAAAACACTTCCTTCTCTTCTTACGAAAACATCTGCGATGCCGCCAGTCTTCAAACATCGAAACCACTCACAAATCACTCGGCGCAAAAGACGTTAAATGAAAATAATCCTCCGCCAAATTAAATAATACTGAGAACTGGGGAAAAACGACCCATTCCGTGAACGATTTCTCTGCAATAGAAAACCTACCAGCACAAACAAATGTAAGAGTATAATTTCAAGAAACTTAATCCCCACGGTGACAACCTGTTGGTGAAAATCCCGTCATGCCGAGCGGACACTCGCGTAATGCCCAAATCGCCAGTAGACAACACAAGCAGCGTCTCAAATGTCGCTGTCTCTGGTGATGTCAAAACTATGTTTGCTAGGACCATTATTGGTGGAAAGATAATGATTAATCTCGTTAAACCTACACGCTCGGTTCCAGTCAAAATACGTAGTCATCGAAAGTGAAAGTGACACCGAATAATACATACTCTGGCCTGGCTGCTATGCTCTATTCTTTCAGTGTGACGTATCGGGAAAGCGCTTAATACTCATTAACACTGCAGTCTTTACATATGCTCTTAAAGATGGGACAAACGGATTTTGCTCTCTGATGGCATCTGTGCCAATACCAACTGAGTTTGGGGACAAAGCTTGAAACAGACGCTGCACATAAAAGGTGATCTGAACATGTGACCTGTTTCATGTTATGTTTGTGTTGACTGCAGAATGCCATTAATCTGTACAACATGTTTCGCACCCGGGAAACCCTACACCGAGGAGTCTATCAGCACCCAGTTACCCGTGGAGTGGAACTTATGTACGTACACGCAACACATCCTCACAAACACACACACACACACTCACACACACTATCGAGAACCTTTTTTAGCAACGTTGTTGTATGCATCGAATCCACTCATATCCTATCAGTTCTGATATTACGTCGTTTTGACGCTATAACATGCTTATTTAATTCATTAATCAATTATCTATACATACATATACATTATAATATGCATTGTAGGGATATAGACGTTTGATTGTCAAAATATTGTGAATGCGCTCCATGTCTTTTTTCAGGATTGTTGATGCGCTTGTAAAACTTGACAAAACGGCGCTGATACCAGGGGAAAATGCGTATGTGAAGTTTGTTAAATTTGCTCCAATGCGATAATACCAAGAACAGAAATATGGGAACTGGGCCCGGGTAATGATTATGAGATATGACACTATCACTATTAAAGCACTATTTACCTGCACGTGATTTAGATATATTCATTTTCACCAACATCCAGTGTAAAGCATCCAGCCAAATGTGGATGTGAATATACGTTTGAATTCACTGTTAGTTGATTACATGTACAACCATCACACCAAACATAGATATCTTTCTACAATCAGAAACGACTAATGAAGTTTGTTATTTTTTGCAACAGTAAAAGAAAAATATCCGAATGTATTGATGACATGGCGGCCTATTCCAAGCTGAATGACAGCATCCTTCAACTGGTGGATCTCCCTAGACACTCGGGACGAGTTCCCAAGACTTCCTGGTGAATACCATACATCATTGTGTCCTGACTGGATGTTCACACATACATTAAAGAAATGTAATATCTAGCCAAATAGTGCTAAGACTTAGTTGTTTCAGTTTACAAACACAGTTGTGAACAAGAGTAAATTAAGAAGGCACTGGGTTCAGAGACACTGACGTGTGTAAAGCGATTGTCATATTTGAGTAGAATAGCCAAATACACTGAAGAGATATAAACTAGGTTTGACTTAAGCCCACGGAAGTCAGAACAGTACTTTTACAAACGTATACACACGCAAAATCATACCGACCACATGGGCATGACTTGCCTTCGTATTCAGCTTGCAGAAATGTGCTGCTGAATTTAAGCAAGACCGTAAGACAAAGATATCATGCAAACGTAGAAGCTGCAGTAAATATCTATTGGCATTAGTTTCTCAGTACAGTTCATCTTAGCTGACAGACTCCACAAGAGCAATATGCCTGCCTAAAGTTGTGAAAATTTGTTTATTCTGAACGATAATCCATGTTTCTACTTTTCGATTTATCCGCGTGATCTTTATGAATAATATCAATTACAGGCGCAGCACTGAAAGATGCAAGTGACATCGTGAAAAGAATACAGAAAAGAGATTTGTACAAGTGTGTTAGCAAACACATTGTGAAGGAGGATTTTAATCGAGTATGTTGATTGTTTCGTAAACCTGTTCGCTTTACACACATTATATAGCTAAATGAATAAGTTGGGATAACAAATGTTACTGGTCAGTATTTCAGTAATGTCATATGGCCAAGTGGACAGACATATTGTACGGTGTAATATTCATCCAACGCCTTCTAAGGATTGTTCTGGATTGTTCATTGAAAGTTGTGAAATGTGAACACCAGCGGCTGGAGCTGATGAACTTTGCTCGACGAAAAGGGAAAGTTGAATGCACCCGTCTTGCCACTTTTCGAGAGTGTTTTGTCACGGAGAGTGTTTTGTCACTGAGAGTGTTTTGTCACTCAGCATTGAATATTTTTGCATACTTCATTCTTCGTTCAGTGGACAGGCATTGGCTATTTGATGGTTTCTGAGCAATATCAAATCATCTGTACACCTGACGCTTAGTTGGAACCACTTGGCCAAAATACCATAAATCGAGCAGAAATGGCAATGCATATACTAAACAAAACAATTTAACAAGAAAATGAGTACAATTCGTACCCATGGGAATGTTTATGTCTTAGTAGGCTAGATGAGTTTCCCTAAACAATTACGTTGATGCTATGATTGGAGAAGTCCAGCATTCACATATGTGTTATAATTGGGAAAACAAACTCTCAGTAAAGTACTAATGTCTCAATAAGTCCAAATTCTATTACTTTGGAGCTTATAGTACAGTCAAGGAATCAAATACACACGTTTAGTGCGGGGCAACTATGGCTCCATCGAAGTTTGAAGTCTGGTATCGCACATGGTGCTGCGCTTTCGCTTCACTGACTCCGGCAAGGACTGCACAATGGTGGTCACCACTAAAAGGTGACATATATATGATATCTATTCACTGAAGTAAAACTCAAGAACGGGCGGTTAGAATTTATTTATTGCATTTTCATTGATTCTTTGGCAAAGTATATGCCACCAGAATGACGCTCATCAATCCTTTTAAAGAAAGAAACAGTTATTTAAGATGTTTCGAAACACGGAACATCGTCACGAAATTTTAAACACAATAAATGGAACTGAACGACCTCATTAATTGAATATCGTTCGCATCTCTATTTTAGCAAATTTGATACAGAAAATGTCAATGATGTGGACCCGGTTTCTCCCGTTGTATGCTGGCGATTAACGCCGACTACAGTTACTAGAACATAGTACTTTTGATCCGTAGGAGTGATATTGAGTAGTGTTTTCTGTCATTGGATCTGATATAATTTGGACAGCTGATTGTGTTTTCATAAAATGCCGTTTATATTGTGTGATAGAAATAACCGTAATTAGATCTCATAATCTGAAACTGAAAAGTGATTACTTCAATCGTGTATTTTTATATGTATGCTCTTGTAAAAATGTCATGTCTCGATGGGATAAGAACATGAATCCCTTAGCTATGAAATTCTCCATACATACATGCATGCACGCACGCCCCCACTCACGCACACACTCACTCACGCACGCACTCACAGTGTTTGTGACCAGACGTCCTGTAAGGGCGCATTGATGATGCTGGGCACAAGAACACCCAGAAGAAAGTATGTTTTCTTTAAAAACACACACTCCTAAGGGCTCAAGTTTGAGTTTGTTTGTTTAAGACATGCTTAGTAAAAAACTAAACAAATATTAAAATTTGATGATATGCCTATTATTCTATTGTCATACACATAATAACTGTAGCTAATGTGTTAGCTTGGGAAGCTTACCACAATTATTTTACCATGATCTAAATGATCAATTTAGCAAATGTATATGTAAGTCTATAGTATTCAGGTCAAATTGAATTTGTAAATTCTACATAACATGTTTATTATAATCTTTACAAAATAATAAGGATATGAACCTCGTTCATGTTCCGTTGTACATGCTAATGGCAATGTAATCATTCTGTGAAGAAACTTATAGTCATGTTTACAAATGATAAATGTAAAAGTAACTAAAAGTAATAAATGTGTATTTTCACAGATGCATTATAAATGGCTTCTCATATTAACAAATTTCCAAAGACCAAATTTTAGAAGCAATGACAAACCCTCTCATTGACACTATTCATATGGAGCTAATCATTTGACCTTGTTACTTTATTGGCGTTCGAACAATATTTAATGCCAAGCCCACCATAGAAAACGCACACCTTCCATGTCTCGAACCTGAATAAATATTTTTCTCTCTCTCTAAAATTAACGATGAGCGTTATTTTGATGGCATTTACATACCTTGCTAAAAAATCGATAAACAGTGACAAAAAAAACTCTTTCCAAATCCATCTCGATTGTATAATTCTGACTAAATCATGAGTATGTATCTATAAAGAAACATTCTAACCACCCATTCTTGACTTTTTCTACAGTAAATATATAACTTGTCGCTCAGTAGTGGTGACCGAATTGTGCAGTATTGTAGCTGTCCGTGTCTAGGCTAATCATGTACTTAGTACAACCATCTGATTCTTTGTTTCACTGTTATAGTACTCTATTATATTTTCAGAAAATGATTCCACAAATTAAACAAGAAGTTCTAAAAACAGGCTGGGAAAAAGACATTTGATGAACAGCAGTTTGAAATCATTGTATGTAAACCTTACTTTGTTAGAAACAGTCGTTGTCTCTAGGTGACGGTTAACTGTTTATATATCTTCGTCAATATCTTCGCAAAAAATATTGATATATCAAAAGTTTGGATTTCTCTGTGGAAGTCTTTCCCTTCGTAAATCCAACAAAATGTAAATTTAAATCAAGGCTACACTGGATACGTCAAGAAACATATGCATCACACATTATATTTATTTTTCTTGTTTACAAATTAATATATTTTGTAGGTGGTGTCTTTTGATTATGGACGAGGAAACGCTGACCCAGTAGCAAATGTTCCTTTTTATAGGAAATCCGACGTTCAGAAAGCTATCTATCTGACGGAAGAAGAGGTACGATGTCTCTTTGCGATTGTTGTCGCAGAAGTATACGATTATATGTTGCTATTACCTTCAGGTTAGTAAAGTGAATGAAAACCAACGAAACCGTTGTCATGTTTTTAAGCCTTATGCTAAATGCATAGGCCTTTGCACGTTTTCGACAGTATCATATGTGTTTATCAATCAAACTTTGGCAGTGTGATGACACCAGATGAATTCGAAAAACTGTCTGCATCCAGCTGTCTTTAAAATATCCTTCACAAGTCTTCCATAAATAGATCTCAAAATATATGAAGTCATTGATGTCATCAATAACAAACTTCCCGATCTGCAGGTGAGTGTGTGAGTGAGTCACATCGTCACATCGGCAATATTTCAGCTATATCGTGACGATTTGTATACATAGTAATTAATGGTAAATTATAAAAACCTGTCAACGAAGGACATTAAAACAGCTAGATTATCACAGAGAGGAACTTAAAACTAGCAATTAGGTCTCAAACAGTTTAACTATAGGCGACAATACAATATAAAAACAGGCTATAGATTGTCAACAACTGAAGGTAGATCACAATACTAGGGACCATGGGACTAGGGACTTACAGTACATTTGCTTCCTGCATGGACGATCTGCATGTGAATATTTGACTATCTGATTTCTAGAAACCACAGATGCTGCCAAGAACATTTCGAGAATGTGCAGTTGCTGCTTATTCCAAACACAGACAGTTCGATGATGATCTCAAAAGCTGCTTTGATCAATGGTTCACCGAGGAATATTCAAAGGTAACGATAGCTAAACACTATGTGTTATTAATCTTGCTACATATAAAGAATCAACATGTTTACCGTGAGATATGGCTTTCATAATCAGATTTCTTTGATACAATTTAACATCAAATTGTGTCCTAAGTATGGCAACATTATAAAACGTAACCATGTCACTACTGTATTTTGTTTTATCAGAACCAAAGCAGATATGCCACTGGGCAAGTTCGAACCTTCAAGGAACTAAAGTGAGTTTGCTTTGAAACTGAGGTTAAAGCATGTTGATTTGTAACATTCAACCTACAGATGACCATAAATTGCTTTGTCAAAGTCAGGGGCGGTGGGGTAGCCTAGTGGTTAACGCGTTGGCTCGTCACGCCGAAGACCCGGGTTCGATTCCCCACGTGGGCACAATGTGTTAAGCCCATTTCTGGTGTCCCCCGCCGTGATATTGCTGGAATATTGCTAAAAGCGGCGTAAAACCATACTCAGTCAGTCAGTCAGTTTGTTAAGTCACGAATCAGTGTTATTATGTGTTTACATTTCGTATAAGTGTTCTATTATTGATTGGCGTAATATTGTTTTCACGACCCTCACGATGAAGGGGTTTGAAGAGAAGCATTCTTTCATTTTCTTACTTTTACGTACCATCAATCATCATATAATTATTCTGTTTGTTTTGTTCTAAGATTATACATGATGGAGTAACTGTCTACGACTTCACACAGGAGAATGTGACGAGCAGCCTTAACCATATCAGAACAAAATAGTCATGGCGTGCTCTGCAGTTGGGAACACGGTGACATTGATAATCCATGTCAACCAGCCTTGACCATTCAACGTCGGTTGCCTCTTACAGGGCTCCAGTAGCAAAAGCACAAACTTGAATAGTTAAACTGAGAGTAATAATAGCATAAGAATCTTTCTGTGTGAACATCACCTGTGCAAACATGAGAAATGCAAACGCGAGAAAGGATGTTGCATATACATGAATCAATACAAACAAATGCAATTTACTTACAGTAATTTGTGTTAGTACTAGTCAATATTGTAGCAGCATTGCACATCAACTGCACATGTGAATATTCTGTTCATAACATCTGTTCTTTTATTGTTTTTTATGGGTTTCACAAGTCTCTTAATGAAGGTGTTTGAAGAGGAGTATTCTCTCATTTTTGTTATTTTTTCTTACCATCAATATCCATATAATTACCTTTTTAAAGATAATTTGTTTTTACTGGAATCAGTCATTTCTAAAGGAAAGATAGGAGCAACACACAGAGTAATGATATGCACTGCATATGGTTGAATTAGTGCAAAATCTAATATAGACAGAGCACAGACGTTTGTTGTGGCTTGGAAAATGCATGCACGTATAAATGCACACGCACATGTTTTAATCAGGTTACTGTTTCATGTTGAATGTTTAATGCAAGAGGACTTGCCTTTCATTTAAACATAAGTAATACTGCAAATATGTTTTCAGACACCAATGACTTTGCATCATAATCCTGCATCGAAAGAGGATTTATTTGATCTTGCAGTCACCAAACGTGGAAGAAATGCGTGCCAATCTCAATAGCCTAACATGTAACTTAATCTTCACCGATATGTTCCATGATTATACATTAACTCTGTAATGATGATGTAATATACGACCTTTGGTTTAGTTTTCAGTTTACATGAGTGACGGGTGTGGTTGTGTCGCTTAATAGTGAAAGCCTTTGCCCAGGGTGTTCGAGTTTCCAAGTTGGTGAAACATGTATGAAGACAACATCTGGCGTCCTGTAGTTATATATGACTGAAACATTGTTCAACAAACGCAAATAACGACCAAGCATATATGTGAACACTTCTGGTACTAGTCGTAATGACATGAATATCAGATTAACAGACTAATCTAGATTTGTATTGTTCTTTTAGAACAGTGTAAGTATCATTATGACTTTCAGTTTTATACGAGAGCTGCTACACTTGTACAAATCCGAAAACACAATGGTACTGTTACGTTGATCATGGCTGAAGTAGTCCCACTGAAAACAGCATCATTCCGTTAGGATGCAATATCTACAGTTTCATTTGCACAGATAGATCATAACATCTCACCTGTATCAGTCAGAATCCAACCTGTATACCCCATGTGGTACCGCACAGACATCAAACAAGAAAAGCCTTTCAAAAAGGCACCTGGGTAAATAAATACATTTTGTGAGACGGACGTGAGATTTGGGGAGTAAAGCTGATTCAGCTGATTTCAAGAAATATCACGATGACCATACCTCCGTCAGTTAGAGAGTTGCTTCTGTTAGAGATCGGTACTTGCATCGCAAATACGGTACTCTTATCTCCAGTATTTGACATTTCATATCAAAGGTCTTTGTCATGTGTAACCATGTCTTAGATCACATACACTAACGCTATGGAGCACCTCTATAGGCCGCGATGGCCGCACTTCAATGGGCCGCACCTCTATAGGCCGCAATCCTTTGTTGCACTTTCGCGCACCCGTTGCGATTATTGCGCACGAAAAACCTATATGATTGACTTCATTGTACTTATACCTACAAGTGCGCACTGTTTCTCTCGCATGTCAGCGGCGTCATTTTTAATCACGAGACCATTGACGAGCGAGGATTCCCTGTCTGAAATAGTAACATACTTGAGCGTTATATAACTGATGTATGTGGCGGCTATGTATCCAGGAAAACCTAATGGGTGCAACTAAAATGGAATGGGTTTTCCGATTCTGCGATGTGTATCATTTTATTAACGTTTTCGATCAGTAAAAGCACTGTTTAAATTAGAGATTTATATAAAACTAGATTTCCGCATAAAAGTGGGACAGTTTTTTTCGAATTACCCAAATGGTCACGTGGCTCCTAATTTACTACAGCTATGTTCATTGGTTATTTGGAATGAATTGCCAAAATACAAAGGGACTAAGTATCATTGGCTCGAAGATATTTTGAATATTCCAAGTGTATATATAGAGAGGAATTTCACCTGAGAGAAAATTCAGCCTGATTATAGGGTTGGATGCGTTTGCCCCTCCGAATAATAACCTTATCTCAATCTGGACATTGCATGCTTCATGTTTTTGCCTCATGTGTTACTCTTTTTGTTGTTGTGTTAAACTTTGTTTTTAACGCTGTATAATCCTGTCTTTTCCAGTTGTTGATTGCTTGATAGCACTTGTATCTAGACGCAATCCTTTAATAAAAGCATTGGAACTCCAAAAACTCTTTTGTGATGACACAACTAACAAAAGTCAACTGAACTAGAGGTTTCAGTGGAAAACAATTATGAAGGAGACCGGACAGTCTTGTCAAGACGTAGCCTTCAAAATTCTTTATCCAATGTTACACAGACCAAAGGCCCTCAATACAATATGTGTTACACATATTTATGGCGACAGTTACAGTGATAAAATATAAGTCCTTTCTACTTTACCGTAATATAGATATTCAACGAAACAAATGCTTTGTGTTAGCTGTAGATAAATACGTATGGACCTTTGGGTGAAATAATATTTCGGAGGAAGGTAGGAATGGCATAGGTCAGTATATGCAGGGCACACTAGCAGGAAATAAAACTTGTCTAGGCCAGCAATTGTCTGGTAGCGTTTTTGCTGTTTTCTATTTCCAGCCAGTATGTTCAGCATCTAAACCATGACATACATGAGCGGAATTTACTCACGGTTACCCCATACCAATATCCTCTACACTGTAAGGTTAATATTACATCGGACAGAAGACATAAGTGGTTACGTAAAGTCTGTGCCATAATTAATCACAGAAGGCATTCCAGAGTTGAACGTTGGCTCGATATTTGGTCGTGGATAGAATGAATAAAACAAAACGGAATACGTCCTACTAAAACTTCTGCAACATTTTGCACTGGCTCTAGAAACTGCAGACACATCTGTTCTTACCACATGACAGAATCATAATCCACTACCACATGACAGAATGATAATCCACTACCACATGACAGAATGATCACCCACTACCACATGACAGAATTATCGTCAACTACCACATGACAGAATTATCGCCCGCTACCACATGACAGAATGATCGCCCACTACCACATGACAGAATTATCGTCAACTACCACATGACAGAATTATCGCCCGCTACCACATGACAGAATGATCACCCACTACCACATGACAGAATTATCGTCAACTACCACATGACAGAATTATCGCCCGCTACCACATGACAGAATGATCGCCCACTACCACATGACAGAATTATCGTCAACTACCACATGACAGAATTATCGCCCGCTACCACATGACAGACTGATCGTCCACTACCACATGGCAGAATGATCTTCCACTACCACATGTCAGAATAACCGTCCACTACCACATGACACAATGATCGTCCACTACCGCATGTCAGAATGATCGTCCACTACCACATGACAGAATGATCGTCCACAAACACATGACAGAATTATCGCCCACTACCACAGGACAGAATTATCGTCAACTACCACATGACAGAATTATCGCCCGCTACCACATGACAGACTGATCGTCCACTACCACATGACAGAATGATCGTCCACTACCACATGTCAGAATGATCGTCCACTAACACATGACAGAATGATCATCCACTACCACATGACAGAATTATCGCCCGCTACCACATGACAGACTGATCGTCCACTACCACATGACAGAATGATCGTCCACTACCACATGACAGAATTATCGCCCTCTACCACATGACAGACTGATCGTCCACTACCACATGACAGAATGATCGTCCACTAACACATGACAGAATGATCGACCACTACCACATGACAGAATGATCGTCCACTACCACATGACAGACTGATCGTCCACTACCACAAGACAGAATGACCGTCCACTGACACATGACAGAATGATTGTCCACCACCACATGACAGACTGATCGTTCACTACTACAAGACAGAATGACCGTCCACTACCACAAGACAGAATGACGGTTCACTACCAAATGACAGAATGATCGTCCACTAACACATGACAGAATGATCGTCAACTACCACAGGACAGAATGATCGTCCACTACCACAAGTCAGAATGACTATCCACTAACACATGACAGAATGATCGTCAACTACCACATGACAGAATGACCGTCCACTAACACATGACAGAATGATAGTCCACTAACACATGACAGAATGATAGTCCACTAACACATGACAGAATGATAGTCCACTAACACATGACAGAATGATCGTCAACTAACACATGACATAATGAGCGTCCACTACTATATGACAGAATGATCGTCCACTACCATATGACAGAAGGATCGTCCGCTACCACATGGCAGAATTATCGCCCACTACCATATGACAGAATTATCGCCCGCTACCACATGAGATAATTATCGTCCACTACATATAACAGAATGATCGTCAACTACCACATGACAGAATAATCGCCCACTAATACATGACATAATGATCGTCCACTACCACACGAGAGAATGGTCGCCCACTAGCACATCATAGAGTGATCTTTCACTACCCACGTGACTGAATGATCGCCAACTACTACATGGCAGAATGATCGCTAGCGGAGACATGGCAGAATTATCGGCCGTGGTCACATGAAATCATGATCGTCCACTACCATGTGACAGAATGATCGTCCGTGGGCACATGACACAATTATCGCCTGCTGACATATGACAGAGTGATCATCCACTACCATATGAAAAAAATGATCGTCCACTACCACATGACTAAATGATAATCCATTACCATATGACAGAATTATCATCCGCTAGCACATAACAAAATGTTCGTCCACCATCACATGACTAAAATGATCGTCAACTACCACATGACAGAATGATCATCAACTACCACATGACAGAATGATCATCAACTACCACATGACAGAATGATCATCAACTACCACATGACAGAATGATCATCAACTACCAAATGACAGAATGATCATATTCTACTACATGATGGAATGATCGTCCACCACCACCACACGACACAATCATCGCCCACTACCACATGACAGAATCATCATCCACTACCACAGGACAGAATGATCGACCACTACCAAATGACAGAATGATCGTCCACTACCACATGACAGATGATCATCCACTACCACATGACAGAATGATCATCCACTACCACATGACAGACTGATCGTCCACTACCACAGACTAAATGATAATCCATTACCATATGACAGAATTATCATCCGCTAGCACATAACATAATGATCGTCCACCATCACATGACTAAAATGATCGTCAACTACCACATGACAGAATGATCATCAACTACCACATGACAGAATGATCATCAACTACCACATGACAGAATGATCATCAACTACCAAATGACAGAATGATCATATTCTACCACATGATGGAATGATCGTCCACCACCACCACACGACACAATCATCGCCCACTACCACATGACAGAATGATCATCCACTACCACAGGACAGAATGATCGACCACTACCAAATGACAGAATGATCGTCCACTACCACATAACAGAATGATCATCCACTACCACATGACAGAATGATCATCCACTACCACATGACAGACTGATCGTCCACTACCACAAGACAGAATGACCGTCCACTAACACATGACAGAATAATTGTCCACTACCACATGACAGACTGATCGTTCACTACTACAAGACAGAATGACCGTCCACTACCACAAGACAGAATGACGGTTCACTACCAAATGACAGAATGATCGTCCACTAACACATGACAGAATGATCGTCCACTACCACAGGACAGAATGATCATCCACTACCACAAGTCAGAAGGACCATCCACTAACACATGACAGAATGATCGTCAACTACCACATGACAGAATGATCGTCCACTACCACAAGACAGAATGACTGTCAACTAACACATGACAGAATGATCGTCAACTACCACAAGACAGAATGACCGTCCACTAACACATGACAGAATGATAGTCCACTACCACATGACAGAATGATCGTCAACTAACACATGACATAATGAGCATCCACTACCATATGACAGAATGAACGTCCACTACCACATGACAGAATTATTGCCCGCTACCGCATGACAAAATGATCGCCCACTACCACATGATAGAGTGATCGTCCACCACCACATGACAGAATGATCATCCACTACCACATGACAGAAGGACCATCCACTAACACATGACAGAATGATCGTCAACTACCACATGACAGAATGATCGTCCACTACCACAAGACAGAATGACTGTCAACTAACACATGACAGAATGATCGTCAACTACCACAAGACAGAATAACCGTCCACTAACACATGACAGAATGATAGTCCACTACCACATGACAGAATGATCGTCAACTAACACATGACATAATGAGCATCCACTACCATATGACAGAATGAACGTCCACTACCACATGACAGAATTATTGCCCGCTACCGCAATACAGAATGATCGCCCACTACCACATGATAGAGTGATCGTCCACCACCACATGACAGAATGATCATCCACTACCACATGACAGAAGGACCATCCACTAACACATGACAGAATGATCGTCAACTACCACATGACAGAATGATCGTCCACTACCACAAGACAGAATGACTGTCAACTAACACATGACAGAATGATCGTCAACTACCACAAGACAGAATGACCGTCCACTAACACATGACAGAATGATCATCCACTACCACACGACAGAATGATCATCCACTACCACATGACAGAATGATAGTCCACTACCACATGACAGAATGATAGTCCACTAGCACATGACAGAATGATTGTCCACTAACACATGACAGAATGATCGTCCACTAACACATGACAGAATGATCGCCCACAACTACATGACAGAATGATCGCCCACTACCATATGACAAAATGATCATATACTACCACATGACTGAATGATCTTCCATTACAACATGACAAGGCGATTACTGACACATGACTGAAATGGGGTAATGTACAGAAGGGAACCAGTTACTACCGCCCACTCATCGCCCACTACCACATGACAGAATGATCATCCACTACCACAGGACAGAATGATCGACCACTACCAAATGACAGAATGATCGTCCACTACCACATGACAGAATGATCATCCACTACCACATGACAGAATGATCGTCAACTACCACAAGACAGAATGACCGTCCACTAACACATGACAGAATGATAGTCCACTAC